TCTTTCTGATGCTGTTCCTGTAGGCATCTCCTGACCCAGTTCTTTGGATATCCATTATCCTTGAACACTTGGAAGAGGTATTCCTCCTCCTCTTGGCGTAGTTCCATGTTGCTGCAGTGTGTTGTTGCCCTTTTAAATAGTGTTCGCACGCAGCTTCGTTTGTACGTGCTGGGTTGGTTACCATTGAAGTTCAATACCTGGTCTGTGTGTGTGGCTTTTCGGTGTACTTTTGTTTGCAGTTCCCCATTTGTCTTGCGCTCTACCATGACGTCCAGGAATGGGAGTTGTTTGTTCTTCTCCTCCTCTCTGGTGAATTTTATTCCGGTGAGGGTGTTGTTTATGAGTTTGTGTGTCTCTTCTAATTTGGTCCGTTTAATGATGACAAAGGTGTCGTCTACGTAGCGTATCCATAGTTTAGGTTGGATTTGTGGAAGGGCAGTCCTTTCCAGTCTTTGCATCACTGCTTCTGCTATGAGTCCGGAGATAGGCAATCCCATGGGTGTCCGATTGATTTGCTCGTATGTTTGGCCGTTGAAGGTGAAGTGGGTGGTCAGGCATAGGTCCAGTAGTTTTGAACTTCAATAGTAACCAACCCAGCGCACACAAACGAAGCTGCGTGCGAACTCTATTTAAAAGGGCAACAACACACTGCAGCAACATGGAACTACGCCAAGAGGAGGAGGAATACCTCTTCCAAGTGTTCAAGGATAATGGATATCCAAAGAACTGGGTCAGGAGATGCCTACAGGAACAGCATCAGAAAGATTCTACACACCCCGACACACACTCATCACACTACCCTACATCAGAAACACGTCAGAACTCACCACAAGACTTCTACGACCGCTGGGCAACGGAGTGGCACACAAACCCACATCAACCCTATGACAAGTGCTCACCCGAACTAAAGACCCACTCCCTGCCATGGACAGGACCAATGTCGTCTACAAGATCCCCTGCAGAGACTGCGAGAAACACTACATCGGACAAACAGGAAGGAAACTAACAACAAAAGTACATGAACACCAACTGGCTACAAAAAGACACGACCAATACTCATTCATCTCAATCCACATGGACAAGGAGAACCACGACTTCGACTGGGACAGGCTAGGCAGAGACAAGCACGAGAATTCCTGGAAGCGTGGCCTCCACACTATTAATAAACACATTGAACTCGACTCCATATACATTCCACTACGGACGAAACCCGGAAGTGAGGCAATCCATTGCAATGGACCCCAGAGCTTAAAAACCAGGCGGGAAAACACACCGACGCTTCATGAGAGGCTGCACTGAGGATGTTATCCAGCACGGTAACAAAATGTGTGCGGAACAACAAAACAGCTCGGCGAGCCAACCAACCTCAACACCCACAACCCGAGCTACAGATCTACTCCAAAACCTTAGTGAATTCAACATTGATTTTCAAGAGTGATGCAGACATATCTCTTCAGACTAAAGGGATTAAATGATGTGGGGATGAAATAACTCACCAAGGCTGGTTTCCTGTCATCAAATTATCCTTTATTTACACGTCGCAAGTCTTTGATATCATCCAGCTCCCTCACAGCCAGCTCTCAGAGTGAACAGGATGTCTGATACTCCTGCTCTTATCTGTCAGCCAGGGCTCCCTGATTGGATTAGATTAACAACACCAATCAGAGAATTCATATTCTAATGTGTCTGACCGCGTTATAGCCACAACAGGAAGCAGTCCAGAGAAGGTTCACTTGGCTGATTCTGGGTATGATGAAGTCTTCTTATGCATAGAGATTAAGTAAGGTTGGGCTTGTATTCGCTGGGGTTTAGAAAAATGAGAGGAGAACTTATTAAAACATAAAAGATTCTTAGTGAGCTTAACAGGGTAGATGCAGAGAGGTTGATTCTCCTTGTGGGAATGTGTAGGAACGATTGCATAATCTCAGTAATGGGTTGTCCACTTAAAAGAGAGTGGAGGAGGAATTTCTTCTCTCAGATGGTAGTGAATCTGTGGAATTCCTACTGCACAGGGCGGTCAAGGCTGGGTTATTAAGAACATAGAACATAGGACAGTACAGCACAGTACAGGCCCCTCGGCCCACGATGTTGTGCCGACCTACTAAGACCAAACTACCTTGCATATCCTACATTATACTATCATCCAATTGCTTATCCAAGAGTTGCTTAAAAGTCTCTAAAGTATCTGACTCCACTACCACTACCTGCAACACATTCCACACGCCCATCACTCTGTGTAAAGAACCTACCTCTGACATCTCCCCTACACCTTCCTCTAATCACCTTAAAATTATGCCCCCTCATAATAGTCATTTCCACCCTGGGAAAAAGTCTGACTATCCACTCTATCTATGCCTCTCATCATCTTGTACACCTCCATCAAGTCACCTCTCATCCTTCTTCGCTCCAATGAAAAAAGCACTAGCTCCCTCAACCGTTCCTCATAAGACCTGCCCTCCAGTCAAGGCAGCATCCTGGTAAATCTCCTCTGCACCCTCTCTAAAGCTTCCATATCCTTCCCATAACGAGGCGACCAGAACTGAACACAATATTCCAAGGGTATTAAGTATTTTCAAGGCTGAGTTGGTTAGATTTTTATTCAGTGAGAGAATCAAGAGTTATGGGGAAAAGGCAGGAATGTAGAGTTAAGAATTATCAGATCAACCATGATCTCAGTGAATGGCAGCGTAAACTCTGACCTACAGCACGGAAACAGACCCTTCGGTCCAACTCGTCCACGCCAACCAGGTTTCCCAAAGTTAACTAGTCCTATTTGGTCTATATCCCTTTAAACATTTCCTATTCACATACCTGTCCAAATGCCTTTTAAATGTTGTAATTGTACTTGTCTCTACCACTTCCTCTGGCAGCTCATTCCATATACGCACCACTCTCTGTGTGAAAATGTTGCTCCTCATGTGCCTTTTAAATCTTTCTCCTCTCACCTTAAGCCTATGCCCTCTACTTTTTGGACATGATGGATTAAATGGCCTAATTCTGCTCCAACATCTTATCGCCAGAAAGGGAAACAAAAAGAGGATTGACAAAGTTGATAATTACAACCATGACTATCATGACCCTCTCCACTGGCTGTTAGACTTTTAAAAATACAAGTTAAAACCTGTACTTTTATTACAGATTCTTAACATTCTTCAATTCTAAAACTCTCGAATAATTTTCATCTATTATATTTGGATCACTACTTGCTTCAAACTGGTGTTCTCTCACCAGATCCTGAATTCCAGCTTCCACATGTCCTCACAGTATTCCTCCATTCCATTAGTATCAATCAAATATCCACCCTCTTCACATCATTTTTCTCCTGGTTACCTTCACATATTTTATTTCTGTAGTTGTTTACTGCTTCCCTGCATTGAATACTATCCATTTTTCGTACAGTTTTAGTCCTTCAAGTTTTCCACTTTATTCCTGTTTTCTTCTATGCCATTTACCATTTCATTTTCTGCTTCCTCCACTTTCTAGATTTGTTAAGTATCATTGGAATCGTAAAGCTTATTCCTGTCAAATAACTTATCCATATCCCCCACCTTTTCCATTCAATTAACCTGGACATTGTGTTAAATCCTTTTAAAATTTGGTGTTATTTTAAACTTGGAGATTTTTGGCTTTATTTTGTTTAAATTCGTTTTGACAGTAGATGCAAACTAAACCTCAAAATCACAGACATTAGCAATTTATGAACTATAGAGTCTTTACTGCACCCAATCCATTTACAACTTAACATAAAACTATGAAGAAGCAACAGGAGATAAAATGGTTTTACACATGGCTAATAGTTCTTTACCCATTATCCATAGTAGCAGAGATAGCACACTCTGGGATCAAATGATTCCAGGACTCTCACTCAGAAATAAACAAACAGTTTTCTTTGATAGTATGAAACTGGCTATATGAGATGTCCACTGAACAAAAGTTGGGAACTGACCATAAGAAAAATAAGAAATGGAAACAGGAATGTACTAGACAGCTCCTCAAGCCTGCTCGGCCAACCAACATGATCATGGCTGACCTTCAACTTCAGCTCCACCTTCTTGCTCATTCTCTATATCCCTTGTTTCATTGATAAACACAAAAGCCTGTCTGTCTATCGCGGCCTTGAATATACTTAATGATGGAGCATTCACAATCCGCTGGGGTCAAGAATTCCAAATGTTTACAACCTTCTTGACTGAAGTTCTAAATGACTGGCCCTTTATCTTGAAACTGTGTCCCCACGTTCTTGGCTCTTCAGCCAGGGAGAGACAAGTTCACAGGGTTTACCCTTCAACATCTCATTTTTTGTTTCAATGCGATAATTTCTCAATCTTCTAAACTCCAGAAAATACAGACTCCATTGAGGCAGCCCCTTAGCTGAGGAACCAATCAAGTGAAGTTTCATTGAAGTACAATGCAAACACACCGTTTCTTAAACATGGGGGCCTAAATTGTACATCTGATACTGCTGAGCTGCCAACGATCCCCGATCAGACACCTCAAACATGACCAGTTGCCACACAACAGTGGGCATGCCTGTCAGGGATGTGGAGGACCCTAATCACTAAATCCCCTGCTCTGTTCCTGCCTCCTCCAGTGTTCCTGGCAACTACTAGCACTCCAGCCTGATAACAGCCACATTGCCTGGAGCAGAATGCCAGGGTTAATGAATCCTGGAGTCAGGGCATTCCACCTTCAACATAAAGGAAGCCTGGACGGCCATGATTTTTAGGAAACCAAAAAACAACAATACAGACGTGGGAACTTACCAAAATTAGTCATGATCTCAGGTAATGGCCAAAAAAAAACAGAAGAACAATGCAGAGATACAACCAATTCTGGGTTACCGGGTTGATTCAGTTTACACGAAGATCAGCTTGAAACTAAGGGTGCCTGAAAATGTGTGCCTGATGCCAGGTCCATAGGTATGCGAAAATCACAGGATTCACTGCACTTTAAAAAGGTGAAGAGTTACAACAGCACTGATCAAATCAATGAGACCTTACCGTGAACAGCATGGTCCTATTCGCCTTCACATTAGTAGGTTGCACAATATTTGGTGCGCTGACAGCACGCTTCCTGGCCTCGAGTAAGCCCCCACTCTTTGCTCCATCACAGTTTGAACTGCTGTTCAAGTCAAGTGAGTCACTTTTCTCTAAACAGCTCTGGGATTGTGTGACTGGAAGTTCATCTTGAATTGTCAGTTTGGGAGCAGATTTGTTCCTCTTTTGCACTAAGGGCGTTGGAAGTTTGGAAGTAAAGAAGCGTGAATGCTCAGCTCGTGGTCTTTCAGTTCGCTTCTGCTCCATTTCTCCTTTCCTGCACTCGGTGTTGTGTTTCCTGACGTGATTGAACTTCTCAATACATTCATCGATTAGAGCTGGGGGAGCTTTCTTATGCGCCACTGTCACCTTCCCGACAAACAGGACTTCGTATTTCTGAGCAAAAGAATCATCGTCATGTGCACGGATCTGTGTCTCTTCCTGCCGTACAGTCTTCCCAGCTTGCCGGATAGTGTTGATGATCTCAGGAACCTGAGGAACCAAGAGAGAAGCATTCAGAATTGCTGCAGACAGAAAACATAAGTAATCACTGCAAGATCCAGATCTATAACCAACCAGAGACACAGCATTTAAAACCCTGTACTTGTCTCTATTAAATATTCTACACACACGATTTAAAGGTTTGTCAAATTCATATCCACTGGTCTTAATCATTTCATTTCCACTCTGCTTCTTAGAACTCTTTACAATTCTGTCCCTGCCCAAAATAGCTCCAGAGGACTCTGTTGTTTCCTTGAGCAATGCCCTCCACAGTCTCTGTCAATCATCACAATTCTCTATTCAGCTAAATTTAATTTCATGATTTAGAGTCACAGACCCGTATAGCATGGAAACTGACCCTTCGGTCCATGCCAACCAGATATCCTAAATAAATCTAGTCCTATTTGCCAGCACTTGGCCCATATCCCTCTAAACCCTTCATGTTCATATACCCATCCAGCTGCCTTTTAAATGTTGCAATTGTACCAGCCTCCACCACTTCCTGTGGCAGCTCATTTCATACACGAATTACCTTCTGCATGAAATTGTTGCCCCTTTGCTCCCTTTTAAATTTTCCCCTGTCACCTTAGTCTTACGTCCTCCAGTTTTGGACTCTTCCCCCCCCCCCGACCCCCGGTTAAAGACCATGGCTATCCACGCCCCTCATTATTTTATAAACCTCTACAAGGTCACTCCTCAGCCTCCAATGTTCCAGGGAAAGTGGCCCCAGCCTATTCAGCCTCTCCCTTTAGCTCAAACATTCCAACCCTGGCAACATTCTTGTATATCTTTTCTGAACTGTTTTTAGTTTCACAACATCCTTCCCATAGCAGGGAGACCAGAATTGCATGCAGTATTCCAAAGGTGGCCTAACCAATGTCCTTTACAGCTGCAACATGACCTCCCAACTCCTTTACGCAATGCACTGACCAATAAAGGAAAGCATACCAAACACCTTCTTCACTATCCTGTCTACCTGCGACTCCACTTCCAAGGAATTATGAAACAGCACTCCAAGGTCTCTTTGTTCAGCCACACTCCCAAGGGCCTTACCATGAGGTATGTAAGTTCTGCCCTGATTTGCCTTTCCAAAATGCAGCACCTCACATTTATCTAAATTAAACTGCTTGCAATCTTTACTTTTAACCTTGTTTATCTCTTCCAGCTAAAATATTTTTCTTTGGGAGACACACTGTTCTTGCTATAAAAGTAAATAGCCTCTCATATCCACACATTATACTCCACCTGCGACCTTATGATCCATCATTTACCTCGCTGTCTCTTCATCCAAGTCTTTAAAACAATTATAAATAGCTGAACCACTCCACAGTCTCAGCCTGCAAATTTGAAGAGGCCCCATTCATCTCCATTCTATGACAGTAAGAACTGCCGATGCTGGAGTCAGAGATAACACAGTGTGGAGCTGGAGGAGCACAGCAGGCCAGGCAGCATCAGAGGAGCAGGATAGTTTGACCTTTCTTCAGAAATGGAGGTGGGGGATGATGGGAGGAGGGGTGCGGTGGTGGCAGTGAGGTTGGTGGAAGGGAGCTCCAAAATAAATAGAGGAGGGTTGAGACTGGGGAAGGTAGGTGGAATGGTGATAGGTGAGTGCAGGTAGGCAGTGGTGGGGATTGGTTAGTGAGGTGGGAGGAGCGGGTACTGGGAGAGAAGGAGGACAGGTTGTGTCAGGTTAAGGAGGCAGGGATGAGAGGGAGGGGTGGTCATGGGATGAGGCAGGGGGGTGGGGAGATTTTGAAACTAGTAAAGTCCACATTGAGACCATTCGGCTGTAGGCTCCCGAGGTGGAATATGAGGTGCTGCTCCTCCAGCTTCTGGGTGGCATCGTTGTGACACTGGAGGAGGCCCAGGATGGACATGTCACCCAAAGAGTGGGAGGGGGAGCTGAAGTGGTTCGTGACTGGAAGGTGTTGTCGTTTGTCGCATGTAGAGCGCAGGTGCTCCTCAAAGCGGTCTCCGAGCCTCTGCTTGGTCTCACCAATGTAGAGGAGGCCACATTGGGAGCAGTGGATGCAATAGGCCACATTGACGGATGTGCAGGTGAACCTCTGTCTGATGTGGAAGGTTTTTTTGGTTCCTTGGATGGAGGTGAGGCGGGAGGTGTAGGGGCAGGTGTAGCACTTCCTGCGGTTGCAGGGAAAAGTGCCGGGGGTGGTGGGGCTAGTGGAGAGTGTGGAGCAGACGAGGGAGTCACGGAGAGAGCGGTCCCCACAGAAGGCAGACAGGGTGAGGAGGGAAATACATCCTTCGTGGTGGGGTCAGATTGCAGGTGGCGGAGAATGATACGTTGAATACGGAGGTTAGTGGGGTGATATGCGAGTACAAGGGGGATCCTGTCTTTGTTGTTATTGCGGGAAGGGGATGTAAGGACAGAGGTGTGGGAAACGCAAGATGTGGTCGAGGATGTTTTTGACCATCAAAGGTGGGGGATGTTGCAGTCCTTGAAATAAGAGGACATCTGGGATATTCGAGAGTGGAACAGCCCATCTTGGGAGCAGATGCAGCGGAGGCGGAGGAATTGAGAGTAGGGGATCGCATTCTTGCAGGAAGGTGGGTGAGAGGAGGTGTATTCTAGGTAGCTGTGGGAGTCGGTGGGCTTGAAATAGATGTCGGTTTTGAGGCGGTCACCAGAGATGGAGACAGAGATCCAGCATAAAGAGAAAGGTATCAGATGTGGTCCAGGTGAACTTGAGGTTGGGGTGAAAGGTGTTAGTAAAGTTGGTGAATTGTTCAAGCTCCTTGTGGGAGCATGAGGCAGCACTGATACAGTCATCGATGTAACGGAGGAAGAGGTGGGGGATGGGGCCAGTGTAGCTGCGGAAGAGGGACTGTTCCACGTATCCTATGAAGAGACAGGCATAGCTTGGGCCCAGGTGGGTTCCTACGGCCACCCCCTTAGTCTGAAGGAAGTGGGAAAGAGTTGAAGGAGAAGTTGTTAAGGGTAAGGATAAGTTTGATTAAGCAGATGGAGGTGTGGGTGGAGGGGGACTGGTTGGGTCTGCGGGAGAGGGAGAAGCGAAGGGCTTTTAGGCCATCCGCGTGGGGAATGCAAACGTACAGGGATTGTATATCCACAGTGAAGATTAGGCGTTGGGGGCCAGGGAATTGGAAGTTTTGGAGGAGGTGGAGGGTGTGGGTGGTGTCCCGGACATAAGTGGGAAATTCCTGAACCGGGGGGAGAAAACAGTCAAGATAAGCGGAGATAATTTCAGTGGAGCAGGAGCAGGCAGAGACAATGGGTCGACCAGGGCAGTCGGGTTTATGGATTCTGGGAAGGACATAGAAATGGGCAGTGAGGGGTTGGGGAACGATGAGGTTGGAGGCTGTGGACAGGAGGTCACCTGAGGTGATGAGGTTGTGGATGGTCTGGGAGTCGGGGGTGGGGTCATAATCGAGGGGTCGGTAGGAGGAGGTGTCAGAGAGTTAGCGCCTGGCCTCGGCAATGTAAAGGTCAGTGTGCCATACCATTACTGCGTCCCACCCTCATCTGCAGGTTTGATGGTGAGGTTAGGGTTGGAGCGGAGGACTGCACGTTCCATGGGGGAAGAGGTTGGAGTGGGTGAGATGGGTGGAGAGGTTGAGGCGATTGATGTTGCGACAGCAGTTGGAGATGAAGAGGTCGAGGGAGGGTAGGAGGCCTTGGGGTGGTGTCCAGGAGGAGGGGGTGTGTTGGAGGTGGGAGAAGGGGTCTGTAAAGGGTGGGTTAGACTCACGGTTAAAGAAATAGGCGCGGAGGCAGAGGTAGTGGAAAAAGTGTTCAACATCCAAACGGGAATGGAATTCATTGATGTGTGGGCGGAGGGGAATGAAGGGGAGTCCTTTACTGAGGACTCCATTCTATGCTTCCTTTTCACTATCAATTCTTCATCCGTGCTAATATATTGACCAACATTATCCTACACATTATCCTCTAGAATGGTAATATTTGAATTTCTAAAAAGGTATTCTATATCCCACAGATACCCTTTAACTATACCCTGTACCCCTTTAACTATTCTAATTACACCATCAAAACATTCCAGTAATGTCTGTTCTGCTGTTTGTCTCTATAAATGGCACTAAATCTGCTCCCCACTGAGAAAAAGGGGTGTGTGAAAAGAAGAGAGGAAATTTTCTATGACATATTCAGCCATAAAACACTGACGCATAAAATTTGAGAACAAATCCAGTCTTTCTCCAATCAATTCCAAACATGGTATTGGAGCAATAAGGGCAGAAAAAAGCACTACATAACTGTTGAAATAACTCCCTCTAGTCCCAGCATACAAGATCTATTATACGTGCAAGCTACAGAACACACTGAGGGAGCTCACCTATGCTTACTACTGCAGCATCTCACTCTCCAACACCAGAAAGTTAGAAGTAGCAGAATGGATATGATCAGCTCCCAGTCTCACATCATATTGACGTAGACATTCATTCCTGTTCATTAATGCATAATATCATGCATTTCCCCACCCAACACCACTCCAGAGGCAGATTCACTTCAAGGAGTGCAGCAGTACAAAGTGGTATTACCACCTTCATCAGGCAGCAAGGAATTTGGCAATAAACATGACCTGACCTTTATGATTTACATTCCAAGAATAGCTTTTGTATTTTAAAATTGCAATTTCCACGTGTCTAGTCTCTTCACCAACACGGATTTCAATTCATAACCTCTTGGTTTCTAACCCGGTAATATAGAATAACCTTTATGTTAATATATCCAACCGTGCACTTGAGACAAGAGTCAGTTTTCTGCCAGTAGACCCAAAAAACCTCAGAGACATTACCAGGGAAAAGGATTGTGCATCGGTGTTCCTACAGCTGCATCTATTTTATAGCAGCTTCTCAGCAGATAAATATACAAATGAGACAAAGCTCTGCAGTGGGGGTCTGGCGAGGGAAGTGGTGGGGGGGTGGTGGTAGTGGAAGTAGGCAGTTTGTTGATTAGCGATATGATCAGGAAATACAAACTGAACAGCGAAATC